GGCCCCCTGCATTCTGCTGGAAAGAAGTGGGGTGCATGAGCTTTGTCAATAGGATGTCACTGGGCAGACCTGAAGGAGGTCCTGCAGGCTTCTTTGCTGTGCAGCCGAGGCAGAAGTCCTGGCCTTTCCTCTGGCTCACCCCTGCTGCCTCCGTTTCTGGCCAAGGTCTCTGGTACTGAGGGCGCACACTGGGAATGAGAACAATTGTTCTGTAAGCCCAGTCCTGAGGCCCCTGGGGGGCCACCGGGGACCAGGGCTGAATCTGGGTGTGGACTCCTTGTTATGGCCCCTTGGCACTGCTCCTGGCCCCGGTCCACATCAACCACAATCAGCTCACTTTCTTAGGCACCCAGACAGTGTGACTGTCACAGCAGCAGCATCCTCTCTGAGACCAATAAAAAGAACAAAACGAAAGGCAATATGAATGCCAACTGAGCTGTCCTGACTGGGACTTGAGCGTGGCGGAGCCTGGCCAGGGCAGGCAGGGCCCAAGTGTTCTGGGAACACACAGGCTGTGGAGGGGACAAAGCTCCCTGGAGCCACACGCTTGCATACTGCAGCGGGTGCTGGGCCTCTTCCTAGCCCTACTTTGCATAAGTGCCACATCATGTGTGCTCTGTGACTTGGCTTTGAAGGGCAGCATCGCCTGGAGGCTGTGAGGAGTATAATTTGAAGGGTGCAGCCCGAGTGTCTTGTGGCCCTGAGCATGTGACTTACTCATTCATGACCTGGAACCTTCCACACCCAGAGTGAGGCAGCTCTGGCCAACTCCAGGCAGTTGCTGCAGCTCAGCAGCGTCCTCCTGTCCCCTTGTGGGCTTGCACTCTGAGCCCACTCTTTGACTAAAAGCATGTCTGAGACCTACCTGCTGCTGCTAGGGCTGGGCCCATCATCACCACACATCCTCTTTCTTACTGCCCAGTGACATTCTGTGGCTTAAACATGGCACACCTCCTGTTCCCGTCGATGCCCTCATCCTGATTTCCTCCAGGGAGGCCGGAGTGCAGACCTGACAGCCTCAGGCACCCTGACTGTAGGCAGGGCTCTGCTCCTCTCACAACCCTACATGCAGCTCTCTGCACACATGAAGGTTTGCTAAGACCTGCAGTGAGAACTGCTGGTCAGGTATACGTAGACCTGGCCAAAAGTCTTCCATGCAGAACTGCACGGTCCTCGCCCTCCAGGTCTGCAGGGCACTCAGGCAGCCCATGTGCTCCCAACCTCTACTCCTCATGGCCATGCACACTTCTCCTAGTTGCCATTCCCTGGCCACTGGCCCCTTGGACATCTGTCAGCCGCCCGGAGTCTCTGTTTCTTAACAGCTGCCTTTTTATTTGTGTTTGGTTGCTATTTCTGCCCTAATGGACCTGGCACTCTTGTGCCTTTTGGAGTGTGGCATGGCCTAGGATGCCCTGTAAGAAAAAGATCATTTTTCAAAATCAACGTGGATTTCTGTGCCTTTTAGCTCATTACCCCATCTCAAATACATCTGTATTTGGTGTGAGATCAAATTCTAAATTTAGTGTTTTTTTTTAATTGACTCAACATCACTTATTGAATAGTTTATCCATTTCTAGTGATTTAAATGCTAATTTGATTAAAGCAAAGCAAGAACTGGGGATGTAGCTGTCTAGCACACAGGGGCCCTGGGTTCAATCTCTGATTCAGTGAAAAAAAAAAAAACAACAAAAACAAATCACACACACACACACACACACACACACACACACACACACACACAAAGATTAAAGCAAAGCAAACCCAGTCCCGCCCCTGCTGCCATCTGTCCTCCGCCGCGCGCCTACCAGGTTAACCATTCTTCCTGATAGTGCGGGGTGCATGGCTTCCCCCACATCCCTGCACTCTTCTGATGGTTTTTAATGCCCGTACTCCCCACATGTACCTCAGTGTGGGGACGCATACATAGGGTCTGAGCAGGGCAGAGACAAGGGGAAGGAAGGGCTGCTGAGCCGGGGGGACAGGGTGCTGGCAGGGAAGAGGGTGCGTACAGGCAGGTGATGTTGAATGTATTCAGAGAGCTCATGGGTCTGTGTATCTGTGTGACAGGCAGGAAGGCTGCGTCAGGGTCTCCAGGACTCACCTCTGCCCCTGTCGGGCTACCACCCCAGTCAGGTCCTCTCCTCCCCTGAGACCCTCTGGCCCTGGTTCCTGTCTGGGGCTGTGACAGTGGCCACTGTAGCCCTTTCACCTCTCCTGGCCATACCTGCCCACCCCTGGATACTTCCCAGTGGATGCCCTAGTCCTAGGACTAGAGGTTGTGGCCCAGTGCATCTTCTCTCCCCTGGCACTTGCCTTGGGGTCCTGCTCACCTTGAACTCCGGCAAGAGAGGTCACTCTCCTCTAGGTTCCTCCTTCCTGGTCTCCCACAGGGCTCTCAGTGGACGTGTGTGTGGGGCAGCCTGTCTCCTTTCTTACAGGAAGGCCCGCCACAGGTAATGAACCACATGATTCAGCCAGGAGTCCCCACAGGGGATTGCTCATCTTGGACATGTGGTCACTGGACACCACAGGCTGTTCTCCTGACCCAGGACTGCCCCTTTCGGCCACCACTCCAGTGGTACAGGAGCCCCACGTGACCTGTACTTAAACTTTCACTCCTGCATGGTTGTACAATGGTTCTCAAACTCACAGAGGACCTCCTGGAAGGCTGTTCAGCTCCAGAGTGCAGGCCAGCCCAGAGCTTCTGAATCACATCACTATGCAGGAGGGAGCTGTGGCTGTACCTCCAGAGTGTCCTTGGGGTGGGGGTGGTTCCTAGCCAGACATGTGTTTTCTTTAAGAGTGTGTAGCTGAGATGTAAAGAATGGGGTCTGATCACTTCCAGCTGGGTTGGAGCCCCAGAGGGTACTGCCAAGCCCACTAGTTTTGCCATGGATGGCCTTGCTGGCCCCAAGTCAGAGCATCCGGGCGTGCTGGTTCTCTGAGTGTCCCTGGCTAGAAGGCTCCAGTTGTAGGGGTGTTCCTGACCCCACCCAGCAGGGCCAAGATAGTGCACATCTCCCACACATGGAGTGTGGGGTGCAGGGTCAGAGGGAACCTGCCCAAGACTTGGTCAGGCCAACTCCACCTGTGACCCTTCAGCTCCCAAATGAGTCAAAGCCAGCACAGTGAGGGCGATGTGAACAGGCAGTCGGTCCACAGTGCCTAAGGACACATTGCCCACTGGTGAGAAGCCTGGGGATGGGCAGGCAGGAGCACAGAGACAGGCTCTAGCGGCGTCCTTTGGTCTGGGTAGCATCATCTAATCCGCAAGGTGCCCCAGTGCCTCTGCATGGTTGTATTTGTCATCCTTTCACTGGAGGCTGAGGGGCAGTAAGGACGGTCGGGCCTGCCCTTGAGGCAGCAGCACTTGTGTTTCCCCTGAAGGCAAATGGGACAGGCGGGTAATGACTTTATAATTCATGGGAACCCTCATGATCATCACAAGAGCACACCTCTGTCCTGCTACAGCACACCACGACTAAGAGCCACAGGAAGACTAGCTCCCGGGACACAGAGAGCAGCAGAGAGGGGGAGACAATGCTAAAAGCTGCACAAAGTTGGTTTGGCTTTCCCCAGGCACAAAAGGAAGATTTTAAACCATCAACAGGAAAATCACTGAATTCTTCTATCCTGCTTTAGTGAAACAGAACATTTTCCATGAGCTGGAACCTGGCCGGGTGCCGTGGCGCACACCTGTAATCCCAGCGGCTAGGGAGGCTGAGACAGGAGGATTGAGAGTTCAAACCCAGCCTCAGCAACTTAAGCAAGGTCCAAAGCAACTCAGAAAGACCCCGTCTCTAATAAAATACAAAAATGGGGATGTGGCTCAGTGGTTAAGTGCCCCTGGATTAAATTCCTAGTACCAAAAAAAAAAAAAAAAAAGACTGGAACCTGGTTAAGGAAAGAGCCCTTTGGAACATAACTAGGGACTCACCCTCAGGTTGTAGTTGACAGAAAATGGTATTACTAAGTGCAGGCGTTTCCATTACCTTGCTCTAAGAGGAAAGCTTCTTGTGTCACCACGGGTACCACTGCTGTTCCATAAACTAAAATGTGGGACAGCTGATACCCTAAAGTGTGGGCATTTGTTTTTATGATCCTGGCCATACAAACAGTTGAAACATAAATTTAAAATATTGTATCTCTCAAAGGCAGAAAATTGTTCACTGATACAACAGATTAAGATCAAACCCCATTAGGACTCTGAAACATTTTCCAGCAAATGCAAACACTAGCATTTAGTCTGTCTGGATGGGGCACCAATGGTCGCCATACAGAGACCAGGAACACCACCTCCTGCACACGCCACTGACAAGATGTGTTCATCCGAAGGGTCCCCAGCTAATGGAACACTCGATTCATTCAGGCAAGACAGGACGTTTTGTTATTTATAAGCTGCAAAACTCGCAATAGCTTTACCAACATTTAAACACTATTGCGCAGTCTGCATAGCTTTATCATGCAAGAAAGTCATGTTTGACGCTCTCCCAGAACTAAAAGAACTAGCTACTTCTCAATATTGATATCGAGCTCCAAAACTGCACATCCTCCATTTGGTAGAAATCGGTGTGCATTAGCCTCACTGATATTTGGGTTTCATGGAGCTCCTGCCCACAGGAACAAACAGCTCAACTGTTTACTTCAGAGGGCAATGTCCCCAGCTGGATGGTGCTGGACCCTGATTCCTGAGAATGACCAGCATGCTCAGGGTGGGGTTTACATCCCCATCCATATTCACTATCTCTGACAAACATCCTTAAGTCTATGTTCATTGTCCTACAGATAATGTTGCTTTACCAGTGCAGAGCATCAGAACAACGTTGACTGTTCAAAAGGAGCCATGTTATTAGAGCAGAGCTCTGTCCTCTAAGCATCTGAAACCACTTGCATGTACAGTCCAATTTCCGCCCGTCCACCCAAGAAGAGCTCTGTGCAGTCATGGCAGCTCCTCCGAGCACTTCGTCCCAACAACCCACACGTGTGAGAACTCTACTTGCCCTGCCATGCCGCCTGGGTCTGCTTTCCTTGGGTCTGCTGTCCTCACAGCCAGCCTCGGCCACCTGTCCTGCTCCGCTGACGGCTTCCCCAGGCCCACAAAATCCCCTTACCTCAGAACAAAGCAGCCCCGTGAGGTCGGGAGGATCGCGTTGGATGTGGGTACCAGACAGATGGCCACTCTCCCTGTTTAGAGAAGATGAAACGCTAAAGGAGAAAAATTAGAGAGCTGTTTTGTTCTCGACTGAAGGAAGCCACCCATCCCATTGGCCTGGGGTGGGGACCGCGTGACATGGCCCAGGCACATGTGACCTACTTTTCGCCCCGCTCCCCTTGTGCCCTTGGAGGGGCACCCAGTACTCGTGGGCTGTCATTCCAATGGTTCCTTCCCCCAACAGGGCAGCTGAACAAGGCAGAGTGCCTGTAGGACATAGGCTGCAGCAGCTAAGCCCCTGGAATGGGGGGACCTCGGCCCACATTAATCCAGACGCAGCTCTTCAGGCTCGAGCTGTCATCGCTGCTGCTGACCGTCTGCCTGTGGACGGCTTGGGCAGGAGGCAGAGACTACCCATTGGCCCCGGGCTGGTCCTGGGCTTGGCTGGCGACACACTTGCAGGTTCTCACGGAACTGCATCAGGAGGTTATTCTTCACCAGGACGAGGGCCTGAAACAGCACAGACTGGATATCCTGCCATTTGTAATTCACTGTGATCTTCCCTGAGAAGCAAGCCCACACATAAGCTAGAAATGGATGAGTATGCTGTGCTCTTGAGATCAGTCCTGATGTGGGCTGTGATCTGCACAGGTGGGATGCAGGGACTGACCAAGACCCCAGGGCTGAGTCACTTGGCACGAGAGAAAGGGGCACATAAATTGGTTCATCCACCAAACTGTGTACTTCTCTGCCACCCGGTGAGTCAGCCTCCCACTCTGCCTAGGCACCTCTGCCACTAGGTTAAGAGTCAGCCTCCCACTCCGCCTGGTGTGACATGCTACCTTTACCCCTGTCTTACACAAAGACCAGACGATATAACCATCAAACACGTGCAGACACTTGGAGGGAATGTCCAGAGGGGCTGTGGGCTGTGCAGAAGGTGCAGGCTGCACCAGGGAAGTCCCATGGCTTTCCAGTGCCCACTAAGGCACAGAGGAGGTGCAGTCCCACAGGCCTTACCCACCCAAGTCATCCCCATGGTTCATTACTAAACTAAAATAACCAGATAGGGGATATTCATGATAGAAAAGCACACCCCTAGCTAGCTGTTCCCAGAAAGATCACCCATCTGTGGTGTCGGGAAGTCTCCCTCTTCAGACTGTTGTCCAGGTGGAGTTAGTAAATCTCTTCAGCAGGAATAGAACCAAACTGCCTGTGTTTGCTCTGCTTTTTCACACTTAGCATTACATACTCAATATTCCTCTGTATTAATTCATTCTGGTCTATGTAATAGTGATTGAATATCCCATAGCATTACATTTTGTGCATGAGACTTTTATGGATTCTATTTTATATACTATAATGCTTAAAAATGTGACTAGCCTACAATGACTGACAATGCTGGGTGGCTGAATTGTTATTTTAAGCACTATTTTGATAATTATCTTCAAGGTTTCCTCCCAGAGGTCACACGTTGGAAACTAACCCACTGTGACAGTATGAGGACGTGGGCCTTTAGGAGGTGGTAAGGGCATGAGGGCTCCACCCTTAGGTATAGATTAATGCCATACGAAGGGGCTCATGGGACCAACGTGGCTCTTTTTGCCTTCCCATGCAGCGTTACCCCTCCAGAGAATGCCATCGTGAAAGCAACGATCGCCTCATCCGACAGCACTCTGCGGAGGACACAGCACTCCAGGGGCCATCTTGGAAGCAGTGAGGGGCCTCACCAGATGCACAGTCTGCTGACATCCTGCTCTGACTCCCAGCCTCCAGAACGGTAAGGAACGGGTTCACGCTACTGAAAAGTCACCCAGTTTTGAGTATTTGTTATAGCAGTAGGAATGGTTAAGACAGCATCTTTGCTTATGTCTCTTTCTGCCTTCCCTAGTCTTCCTAGAACTATGCAGAAATATAATTTCTATGTCAAAAGACGCACAAGTCTGAAGTTTCTGGTGCCCAGTACAGGCTGCTTGGCCAGTACATCTCCACTGCAGTCCAGCTGGGCAGACTCTGTCCTTGCAGACATGTCCTGGAAGCATGGATCCAGCACTGGTTAACAGGAGGGAGGAGGAACAGGAGTGGGAATCAGGATGGCCTTGCCCCATCTGGCCCTGCTGGCTGAGTTCACCACACAGTAGAGGCTCTGATGCTCCTGTGGTGGGTGGAGACAGCAATGGCACAGTGTCACTCACAGCTCACAGTCACAGACCACTGAAGATGGTGTTCCTCCCACCAGACACGTGGGGGAGGACTGGATACGACCTTGGGTCTGGTGTGGGTAGGTCTGGGGTGACTTTGATAAAGCAGTCTGGTGGGAGATAAGCCAGAGGTGACAGTAAGTACAGGCACTGGTCACTGATGCAAGAAGAGATGGATGGTGGCTGCAGTAGATGTGCAGTCTAGGGCAGGGAAAGTCCAGCTTGATGCATGCAGTGGGAAGAAGGAAGGAAGCACATCAAGTAGGAGTAGAGAGGCGGCCAGGTCCTTGAGGCGGAGGACAGGAAGCGAGTTCTGCACTGAGCTCAGGCTCCCAGGCTAGAGGAGGAACCAAGGCATAGCACCCACAATAAGGCCAAGAAGGAGTGGGCCTGAGGGAGGAGGGAAGCTGAGGCATCACCTGTCATGTGCAGGAGGAGCTGCCACTGAGTTGAAGCTGCTGGAAAGACAAACAGGTGAGAGAGAGGAGCCGCTGGTGCTCGCCCTGTCCTGAGGGGCCACTGCCTGCATTTTGGCGTGGAAGCTGCATGGCAAGTCTTCTGTTGGTGTCTGCTGGCCAGGAGGGTGATGCCACAGGGGCACCACAGTTCCAGGAGTCACTCGGAGGGCAGAGTCCCAAGGTAGGGGTCTGTGTCACTGCACCCCGTTGCCACCACTGGGGTGCTGGCCCACCTCTGGCTGTGCCACACCTTTCACTCCCTGGTTGAGCCAGTTCCCTTTCTGTCCCTTGGATGAGTGTCACTGGCTTTATACTCAGTGGAAGGCTGTGCTCTGCTCCTGCAGGAAGAACAGCTGTGTGAAGTTCTTCAGGGGGTGTCCCTTCTCCCCCATTTATCCGTATCAGTATTTGCTGTATGTTGCGAGCTGTCCGCCAATCCTGTTACCTATTCTGTTCGCCACTGAACGCTCTTCGGGTTGGCTCCTGCCCACTACGATATGCCCTTCCTTGTTGGATTTTCATTTTCTTTGTTTCCCCCTCTGGTCTCCTTACCACAGGTGCTCCTGGCTCACCCCAGCTTCCTGCCCAGGCCTTCAGCCAGCCACTCTGCCAGCAGCCTGGTCCTTTTTACTTTGGACCTATTTTAGAAGGTCAGAGATAAGGCGCCACGTGAAGAGCAACCATGAACTAGAGGTGAAACTCATATTTAGTTGCATAATTATGCTCTAAATATGTTTTACAAATCAAGTTGCATAATTCTCATATTAGCCTACTCCGCCCTTGCCAATGTGCAGCTTACTGAAAGCACAGAGTGAATGGAACAGTTTATAATGAAATCAAGAACCTAACGGTGTCACTGTGCAAATCAGAAATGGTTTTAAATTTCAAATTTAGGAAGTGTCTGATGAGCCTTTTTCTCTGAAACCACTGGAATACACAGGACCTATGACAGACTGCTGTGGTGGACGCAGTGGCAATGCGAAGGCTTGGGCAGGTCTGCTGCTGAGCTGGAAGTGGGTGACGCTTGCTCTGGCTGTGGGTTGCAGCTGCCTTTGCCTCTGCACCAGCAGCCAGCAGGTCAGACTGGGCCTCCATGGAGAGAGAGCTCTTTCTGGGCCCCATACAAACGACTCCTATGTCTTTTTTGGGGTCATGTGTCACAAGAGGCTGGGGTGGGCATTCCTGGGCCCCCCAGCCTCTACAACCCCATCCAGTACATAGACTGCACTGGGTTAGTGACTGCCAGGGCTCCCTCTCTGTACTCTGTGGGAGCAGCTCCTTTTTCAGGCATTCATGTGCTAAGGAAAGGGGCCACCCCTCCACCACCTTAGAGAAGCCTCTGGCTATGGACCAGCAGGTGGCTACCAGGCCTCTCTGGTGAGAGGCCCTAGTCATCAGCCCTTGCCCAATGGCCTGGAGTCCGGGACCCTGTGTCCAAGGAGCAAGGTGGAGTATAGCCATTCCTGCATTCCTGTCTGCAGGTCTCCAAGTGCGTACCCCTGAGTGCCCACTTGTGGGAGGCCATCCTCGCATGTGATCTGAGTTACCTCCCTGGCTGGGTGAGAGGCGCTTAGACACAGCGGTGTCAGAGCCTTCCCCACCCTGTCCCAGGTACGAGGGCTTGTCTGTGCAGAGGCGTGCCTGGCCACTGACCTGAAGACCCAATCATTGGCTCTGACCTTGGGATGCTGCCCTCCTTAACCTTCATTGGATGGGATTTTCCCTGGAATTTTTTATTTCCCAATAAAAGCTCACTCCCTGGCGTGAGCGTTCTCTCTCTCTCTCTCTCTGTCTCTCTCTCTCTCTCTCTCCTCTTCTATAAATCTCGCCACCGCAATAGGTGGCTGGAGGCGGGAGCTAGGAGAAGCCGTCTTGGTCCAGTAAGGCTTGCTCTGCTCTCTGCTAAGCACCTGCTGATGTCAGGCACTGCCCCAGGCCCAGGCACTGTGGTACAGCACCAGGCACTTCTTGTCTGCCTGGTACCTGCCTTCTCTTGGACGGCAACGCATGCTAAGAGATGAACAGAGGGTGACTGGCATGGGCAAAGGGGCTAGTTTGGATCTTGCACATGCTCCTTAGGGGAAAACCTCACCAAGAAAGGCACTTTAGAAGAAGAGAACTGCTGACCCTAAGATGGAACCATTCCTGTCTCGCCTTACCTTGGAGCTGGAAGGTTATGAAGGTGGAAGACTCCTGCCTCCTGCCTGAGATCACTACTAAAGGACTTCCTAAAACCCCTTCTCCTTCTACACATGCCCTGTTCTTTGCATGCTGCGTGTGCACAGATTTCTGAAACACAGTTATCTTTAAGGTTTTCTAAGACTGTGACAACTTGGATAGGATGCTCTGGACAGAACTTAGGAACAGCACCCCCACCAAAGAACCGATGCCAACTCCTGCCTTGGGTCTTCAAGACCAACAGTCTCCTATGCAAGATCTTAGGTAAATTTGTCCCCTTTTTTCCAATAGAAACTTCCCCTTGCTCAGCCTCCTTGAGTACACCCACAGTGTGCCACAGCACACAGAGTTCCACTGCAATGCTCTGCTGGTCCCAAACACGCCTGCCAACCTTGGGAGACTTTCTGGGCACATCTGCTGGGTCACCAGGGGCGATACTGAGGGCATGAGGGAGAGGTCCGTGAGGCTGAGGGCAGGGCTGAGGAGCAGAGGAGGGTGTCTTGGGGACGGGGTAACTAGAGCAGTGCTGTGGGGAGTGCGGTGAGCCCTCAGGCACTGTCTCTCAAGCTGACTCCCTCAGGGAGTCTCTCTATGCAATACCCCCATGAAAGTAGGCAGCAAGACCCCAGGGCAGCATTATCCGCCCCCCAGGATCTGCTCCAAATGTGGACCCCAGAGTTGATGGTGCGCCATGGCTTCTTGGTGATTTACATGTTGGTTCAGTGGTGGCCCTTCCTCCTCTGCTGTGGGCTTTTTGTTCCCCTGGGTTCCACCCATTACTTCTGCAGCTGCACCCAGTGCCTACCCAGCACTTGCCACCATGCAGACGGTGAACAGGCATGTGGCCCCTGACCCGAGCAGTGCACGAGCCTCACTACAAGATCTGAGTCTGCTGGATAAATCAGAGGCTCTGACTTCCCTCGAAGCCCAGGGCAAGCATTTCTATGTCAGCTCTAACTGGCTCGTGTGTGGTCAGCTGTATCAGAGCCCTTCCAGTCCTACTCGGATCTCCCGTGTGTGCACCACTCTGCATGGCGTCCAGGCAAGGACCCGGTGGCATCCACACTCCGCACAGCCCCGGGTAGGGTCTACAAAAAAGTGAGGCCCTGGGCTGCTCCACCCCTCATCATGGTTCTCGGTCTATGATAGGCTGTTGAGCGTCAGATTTATGTAAGTGAAGCTGGGATGAGCCCAGGAGACCACTGTGACTTCTCTTGGGCTCGCTTGAGCAGGTCACTCTTCCCTGCCCCTGCTCTTCTCAGCCCCCAGACTTTTTCTCCCTCTTGGGGTCAGAATGCTCTAGGTTTCTCTATCCTGCTCACCTTTTACTCCCCATATGTGCCCACGTCTAGGATCAGGCAAAGGAAAGGCAGAGGGAGGAAAAAACCAACAGAGACTCATCCCACCTCTTGAGAGGGACCATGGCTGCCACCCTTAGAGGAAGCCCCACCCGCTACATCTTAGACTCTATGGCCCTGTTGCTCCACTGCTGCCACCATGGGGTGGTCTGGAGTTGGGTGTAGAACAGAGAAAAGGGCAAAACTCTGGGCCTGCTTCCATCTTCTCTACGCATACGGCTCCTTGGGCCCTTCCTACACCTTCTCTAGAAGCTCCCTGTCAGGCTCGGGCCAACCTGCAGGACTGGGCTACAGTGAAGCCAGGGCAGCAGATGCTGAAGGAGGAGAGTGGGTAACCACTGCCCTGCTCACCTCCCCAGCCTGCCAGCTATCATCTGATCTGCTGCCCAGAGCCCTGTGTCAGGGCTGCCTGCAAGGAAGAGAGCTTTCTCGACCCCACTAGCCAGCACAGAGTCCAAACGTCCTTTCTACTGTTCACCTCATCAGAAAGGACTTGTCTCACCATGAACAATCCAAATGAAATTAGATAAGCAATTCTTACTATAGCATCAAAAGAATAAAGTTCTTTAGTACAGGCTTAACCACAGAGGTGAATGACTTAGACCCTGAAAATTGACAGAAGGAAAACACACACACACACACACACACACACACACACACACACACACGCCTGAAAGATATCTGTGTTCACAAACTAAAAGACAGTGCTGTTAAGATGCCAGTGCTACCCAAGCAACCTGCAGACTGAATGCCTGTCAGAAGAGCAGCAGCATTTCTGCATGCCTTAACTTCCTATGGAGTCGCAAGGGATACAAAAACAGCCACAACAACCTTGAAAAGAACAAAACTGGAGGACTCACAGTTCCTGACTTCAAAATTTATCACAAAGCTATGATCACCACAATAGTGTGGTGCTTGCATACAGACAGACAAATGAATGGAATAAAATAAAAAGCCCAGAAACCTACCTTTACATGTGTGGCCAAATACTTTGGACAGGAGTGCCAAGAACATTTGATGGGGAGAGGACAGTCTTTTCAACAAATGGGGCTGGAAAAATCAGGTATCTGCATGCAAACAAAAGCCACATACCAATATAAACCCCAAATCAGACTGAAACATAAGAGCTGGGACCACAAAGCTCTTAGAAGAAAATAGTACAAAACCTTCATGATATTAGATTTCATAATAATTTCTTGGCTATGACATCAAAAGCATAAGCAAAAAGTGAAAATAAACTATAAGCAAAATTTAAAATTTCTGTGCAGCAAGAGACATGATTAACAGAGTGAGAGGGCAACAAGGACTGGGAGAGAAATATCTTTTGAATCATATAATTGGTAAGGGGTTAATATAGAGTATATAAAGAACTCTTACAACCCAACAAAATCCAAGCAACTCAACTGAAAAATGGGCATAGGATTTGCACACACATTTCTCCAAAAAAGATGTACCAATGGCCAGCAAGCCATGAAAAGGTGATCACATCACGGCTGTGGATGGATGAGGTCTGCTCCCAAGGGCTCACACGCTGGGGCTCGGTCCTCAGTGTGATGCTGCTAACAGGTGGTGGGCCTTAACAGGTGGGGTCTGCGGGAGTCCAGAGGTCACTGGGGGTGTGCCCTCAGGAGGGATCGGGAACTGGTTCCTATGGAACCCCAGCCAGTCCTGGTCAGTTTCTGGTGTCTTGCCTCTCCACAAGGTCCCTCCCTGTTGTACACGCTCCGCCAGCATGATGCCATCCACCATGAGGCCTTACCACGACGGAGCAGGTGTGGTGCCATGCCCGTGAGCTTTCAGGGCTGTGTTCTAAATAAGAATCTTTAAAAAATAAATAAATAAAGTACCCAAACTTAGGAATTTCATTTTAGTCACATAAAATAGTTACCAATCATGGGGGAAATGTAAAACCACAATGTGATACCAACCCATGCCCATTAGGGTAGCTATGATTTTAAAAAAAGAAAAAAGAAGTTGGTGAACTGTTGACAGGAAGGCAAAATTGTTCAGTGACTCTTCAAAAAATTAAAAATAGAATTACCATATGACCCAGCAATGATACTTCTGGGTATATACCACAAGAGTTGAGAGCAAGGTCTTGAAGACATATTGTACATCTCTGTTCACAGCAGCATTTCTCACACCAGCTGAGAGGTGGGGGGAGCCTGAGTGTCTGTGGGTGGGTGAGTGGAGATAAACCTTGACGGCATCGTGCAAAGTGAAATAAGCCAGTCACAGGAAGAAAAGTCATGAACGATCCCACTTACATGAGCTCAAATGAGAGACAGAAAGAAGAAAGGTGGGTGGCAGGGACTGGGGCAGGGGAGCAGGGAGTCATTCATGGTGAGAGTTCCAGTTGTGCCTGATGAAGAGTTCTGGAGGTGGCACCCAACAGTGTGAAAGTTCCTAATGCCCTGGACTGTGCACAGAGAAGTGGTTAAGACACAAAATTCTAAGTCACATACATTTTACTGTAATTAAAATGAAAATACATTTTAACAAAGGATAGTGGCAGGAACACCTGCACAGGCAGGGTAGGAAGCGCTTGTCTGAGCTTTCAATCCATGGTCTAGTCCCCACACTGAGCCCACTACCTGGCCTCTCTGGGGCTCGATTCACCAAGCTGTGAAGCAGGCTGGCTTGAGCCCCTTCAGTGCTTCAACTTGAGGAAATAAAACCATTTCCTTTGCTTTTCGTTCATTGTTCCTTTCTTGAGACTCCTTCTTCTCCTCTTCCACGAAGGGGCTGAGTGCTGTGCTGACTGTGCTGAACACACAGCCCCTCCACATGGCAGCTCCAGGCAAGGCTGCCCTTAGGTACTTGTCACAGTCCCATTCTTGGGTCAGGCGCACAGAGTACCGTCTCAGGAACCCCCCTCCAGGGTTGGATGCGGCTTGTGTTACATGTTCTTGGCTATCTATTCATGCCTTTACTGATAAAAACAAGGGCTTGACCTTGCCAGTCCTTCTGGAGGTTCACTCTGCATGGGGCTGCGAGGCCCACACCTGCTCCCCACTGCACACCCAGTTCATGGTGCCCAGTTGCTCTGTGGCATGCTTCCACCATGTTTTATGTCTACTCTTTTCCAGGAAGGAACACTGAGATCCCTGCTGCATCCACACCCACAGTACCCAACCGGCGTGTGCTGTGCTGTGTGCGGGGATCTCACCCCCTCAGAGATGCCTGACCCATGGGTCACAAGCTTGGTGACTCTCCAGCCCTGCCTGTGCGCCCTCTGGTGGGTAGTCTGGGAGCCTCCAGTTTTCTCAGATCTAAGCTGCACCAAGCAGTGTAAAGTCCTTCTAGTTTTCATGTCTCTGACTAGGAGCACATCAGCCTTTTGCATTTTCTCTTCTGTAAATTATCTTTCAGATACATTGCCTATTTTTCTTCAGAAGTTACAGTGCATGTTAGTTTCCTGTTGCTGATGTTACAAAGCACAAATTTAATGGCTTAAAACAATACAAATGGATGATCTCACAGTTCTGGAAGTCAGATGTCTGACACAGACCTCGCTGGGCTAGACTCCAGGGTCTGCAGGACTGTGTTCCTCCTGAAGGCCCTAGGAGAGCCTGCAGCATCTAGAGGCCACCCCCTCTTCCACCTTCAAAGCCGGCAACTTGACACCTTTAGATGTGACTCTGACCTTCTGCCCAATCTTCCACATGTGAAGGACCTAAGCAGGATCATCTCACATAAAGGTCAACCTGGCTCACAGCCCAAGCCCTCTGCATGTTATCCCTGCTGTGCAAGGATCAGGACATGGGCGCCTGTGGGACTATTCTGTCCCCATCCCCAGAATGGGGGCCTATTTAGACTTCCATGTGTGCTCAAGATACTGATGCCTTCTTGGTTTCAGACTCCCCAGATATCTTCTCCTTTTTTTCATTTCTCATTATTTTCCCCATGGAATCCTTCTTTAAAATCTTTTCTTTTTCTTTTGGTGGTACTGGGGATCAAACTTAGTGCTTTGCCATTGAGTCACATCCCCAGCCTTATTTATTTATTTACTTACTTACTTACTTATGATTGGCACAGGATCTTGCCAAGTTGCTGAGGCTGTCCTTGAATTTGCTGAGCCTGCCTCCTGAGTTGCTGCTTTTTTGAAATCTTTAATTTGGTATAACTCAACTTACCAAACTTTTGTTATCATTTTTGCTTTTTTTGTGTTAATTATGAATTCCTTTTTACGTCCCAGGTAATAAATGCATTTAAGCTTTTTTAAAATCAATTCCATGGTTTTCACCTTTCGCACTTAGGTCTCCATCTGATTCGATGCAGACAGCACACTGTTTGGTAACCTTGACTCTAGACCTTCGGGCCTTCTGGCTCCAGTCTTCTCTAATGCTGACAAAACGCATCTCAAATCTCCAGAAACCTCTGGATTTTCATGTTCAGAAGTAAACGTCTAAAGGTTTACTGAGTTCTTCAAAATCCACCTGGAATTTTGATTGCAGTCCCAATGTGTTTGTGAATTGAGTAAGGAAAACCAACACATTTATGTTATCAACTCTCCCAAGACAGGCTGTGAACATCTCACTCCACTCTTGTCCTCCAAGTCCTTCTTAGAGCATTAGCTTTTGCCACAGGGTTCTGTGCACCCTCACTCGGGTTAACTTCTGGACACCTCATGGGTTCTGCTAAACTATTCTGTTTGTCCTAGTAGGTTTTGATTTTCTTGACTTTTCTAGAACAGATCATCACACTTGTTTGCAAAGAATGCCAGTGTTACATCTACCCTCCATATTCCTGTGATGGCCCCTGTACATGAGGAAGGCTGCACTGTGGTGGCAGAGCTCACCCTGGCCTTGTTGCTGACCTTGGGTGAAGGCATCTAACATTCGCCACCAAGACAATATTTGTGGTGTGATGGGTTCCTGGGCCAAGGCTGGAGCTCTACACTCCTGGTTTGTTAGGAGCTCTTGCCATTGATGGCATGGACTTCATCACCTGTGCTGCATTAGTTGAGTTAAGCCTGTTCTTATTCTTTACCAGTCCACTTAACTAGTGAATAGCACAAAGATTGTTTGAAATCTTATGGTGGACCCTATTAAATCATAATATTTTCTTTATTTATTTTAAATGTACTTTGATTTTGTCACATTCATATCTCATATTGGATTTTTAGGCATAGTTCCAATAACCTGGGCTTGCTCTTTCTTTGTAAACATTACATGATATTGGAGTTGAGATCGATTTGGTCTGAGTGCTGGGGGCTCTCCTTCTCTGCTTTCTGGGATGGCCTATGTGAGTTAGAAGCCTTAGAGGTCCTTAAAGCTGGGTACAACTATCTGTGACACACACGAGTGAGGGCTTTTATGAAAGGCAAGTCTTTGATAATAATTTAAATGTGAACTGGCCCACTCAAGTTCTCTCTTTCTTCTCAAGTCTATTTTGGCACTGTAACTTTCCTGGGAAGTTATCCGTTTCTTTCAAGTGTTCAGTTGTGTTGACGTGTGGCCATTACAGTATGGCAAGCCTTCTTCTCAGTTGTCATTCCTTATTTTTGTGCCTTTGATTCTTATCAGTATCACCCCTCCATTTTCTTGAACCCTCTTATTAGAGGGCTAACTACTCCTTAAGAGAACACCAGCTTTTAGCTCTGCCATTTTCTTTCTTTCGGTGTCCCCCATTTCATTGATTTCTGCCCTTTCCTACACCAGGCTTGGGAAAGCCACAAGGACCACAGCCACAGGGTGGCATCAGGTGGCACAAAAATACCGCTCCTAATGCTGCCCTGCCCTGGGCTCTAAGGACCCAATCTCAGACACCCTCCAGGGGCCTCAGTACCCAGAACAGTCTTCTGCTCAACACTCAGGGCTTCCCTCCTACTTCCCCAGCTTCCCAGGCAACTCTGGGTAAGTGGCCATGGGCAGACTGGGACATGAGGGTGTGCAACCACAACCAGCCCATGGACGCTGGAACGAGGGACCCTTCCCCCAAAGTCCTACATAGCAGAACCTCAGGGCCCATCAAGAACCAAAGCAGGGAAGGATGCGGGACTGTGCCACTTCCAGCAGCTGCATTCCTCAGGGGTGAACTTGGCTCAGTGGCGCACGTCCCTAATGAACAAGCAAGCGCACAGAGAAGACTTCACAGCAACTCACCTTCCCCCATAGGCAGGCTCTACGGTTCAGAGCAGGTCCATAGATGTGAATGCCAGGTGCACTGGGCTCAGAGCATCATCGCCAGAACGGGGAATCTGCAGAGGGGCTGGCTAGTCAGTGCCCGCCTACCTGAAAGACAAACATGGGAGCACGTGAGCTCCAGCACATGGTCCTGTCCTTAGGACAGGGTTTGGTAATCATTTCTTGCATTCGACACAACAGTGCCCATCTCTGAAGCATTCGAGTCTGAGACCTGTGTGAGGAGACGTGTGTCAGCAGAGCTGGCCCCAAGAATGCTGCCTGGTGAAGCCCAAGCAGCAGTGCTGTACTGGGTGGTGTCCATCTCACAGTGGGTGACCCAGAAGAAATATTTTGACATATCATATAAATGTTCTACTTATGTTAGTGTTTTTATCTGTGTACACCCTGACTTTGAAATGACAGTTATTAAATGAAAATTAATTTAAGTACATCGCTGCATCCCACTTTCACAGCCAGTGAGATAATTCCCTTCAATCTCTCCAACCCCAGCCTGCAACTCTGCCCTCGGGAGTCACCCTCGGCACAACCTAGTGCTTCTCCAGAGCGTCTCATTTTCAACTCAGTTTATATTTTTGACTTTTGTGCTTTTAGAATTCAGGTTTGCTGTAACACTGGAAACTGGATTCCCACCCACAAGCACTCACTTCAGAACATCATCCTCCTTGCTGCATTTGGTCATCTGCTACACAGGTGCATACTTATGGTCCCTACAAACCACTGCCGTGGGCATCCTAAAGGCACAGTGTGCAGCACCTGGAACTGCGATCAGTGGTAATCACAGCCCATGCTGAACGACAGGGCCTTCCTTGTAAGCCACATGGCAGCCATCAATGCTGAAATGGTTTCCCTAGTATGTCACATCCCACCACAGCAGGAGCTTTCAAGTGCAGAAAACAAACAAAAAAACCCCAATGCAAGAAGACCCATGAAGGATGAGGCTGAAGGAAAACCCCTCTCCCTCCTCCCTCACCAGGGAAGGCTGCTGCACTGGTGCAGCAGAGGGCTGAGAGTGCCACTGACTAGAGGGTGGGAGACCACAGCTGTAGAGCTGGGCCCTGAGCTCCACGTGTGGGACAGACCAAAGCCACTGATGCACACTTTAAGAGAGTGGACTTATGGCACGTGAACTACACCTCAATTAAAAAATTTTAAAAAACACCCAAGGTAATACTCAAAAGTTAAGGAAAAAAGAGAAAACAATGCAAGATATCTCCTGTTAAAAGTCTCAGATTTCACAGGCGTGCATCTCCTCCCTACAGAGAACAGGGAAATGATCCTGACAAACAAAGAGGCACACACCTCAGGAGCTCAGCAGCTGGGAGAGGAGAACAACCGGGTGGCCAACAGACTGGCAGCCGGGAGAGGGTGAACCAGCAGTGAGCAGGTGGGATGACAAAGGAAGCTGGGACCCGAGCCCACGAGGAGAGGCCTCCAGCACTGGTCTGCAGGAGCAGGAGCACCAAGGGAGCCTGGCTGGGGAGCCTCAGGACTTGCAGTCCTTGGCCCTCTCTGTCACTAGCGGAGGGCCTGGAGGCCCCTTCTCTCAGGTGGCACACTCAGGCCCCGAACTCACGACAAGGAACGTTTTAGAGATGAAGAAGTGTCAAAAGCTGGGGTGAGTGTAGCAACAGGCTGCACATGGGGCCTTCCGTCCCTTGTCCAATGGCCTCAGAATTCTGTAGCCAGGATGGTTTTCTCACCAGAAGAACTGAGAATTCACTTGTCAATAAAATATGAGGCAAGAGAAAGGACACACCAATCTGTATCTGGGAGGCCCCAGAGTTAAATGGCCAGATCCCTGTGTGCTCTGCCAATGCCAAAACCACAATGGAAAGGGGCAAGCCCTGCCAGGTCACAGCAGCAGAACACACTGATCCACACCCCAAGAAGTGAGGTTCCATCCAGAAGTACAAAAATGGAGCAGCTGACCTCAGGGGTCAACACACCGACTACAGGGAATCCACAGGAAGGACACAGAAGGCTGTGACACTGGGACAGGTGCTTCAGAGCAGGAAGAGAAATGGGAGCTGGGGTAGAAAAGAGAAGGGTTCAGGAAGAATGGACTGGAGTTTCCCACAAGGAACACTGAGACTTCAGAAGGCACACTGATTGAACCCCCATCTCCAAAATACAGTTTAAAACAAGATGAACACTGCATTCGCTGACCAGCCAGAAAAGGATGCTTCCTAGAAAAGAACCAGTAAGGGATGGGGTTGTTGTTCAGCAGCAGAGCACTCGCCTAGCAGGCACAAAGCCCTGGGTTCAATCCTCAGCATCACATAAAAATAAATAAACAAAATAAAGGTATTGTGTCCAACTACAACTAAAAACTAAATAGAAAGAAAGAAAGAAAAGAAAAGAAAAGAACAAGTAAGCCCAAGCCTTATCCCTCAACACACCCTTCCCTGCTACAGCTGGTGCAGGAAACTATGTGCTTTTAAAAGAGAGAAAACAGGCACAGAAAATCCTTTGTGGCACAGGACTGCCTCAAAGTGAATCCCATCAGCAATGACAGAACCCCACGGCAAGATGGGGAGTACCAATCGGCATTCCAGGACGGAGGCAGAAGCAGATGTGAGATCACTAGAGCAAAGACCTACAACACTGTAAAATGCAAATGGAGCGCTAAGGCAGACAAAACTGGGAGCTGCTAAACAAAATCTAAGCAGAACTGAAGAAAAGGACAAGGCCTGGAAATAAAGACTGTTACAGGGCCCAAAGGGGAACCGTTCAATTGACTGTACAGGGAGCACTGGAAGCCATCCAGAGAAAATGAGGCAGAGCAGGTAGCAGCCATCAAAGAGAAGTACAGAGCACCAGGCAAGAAGTGAAAGCCGCGAAGGAGAGCCAACACTTAAATCAACCCTTACCAAAGTTTTAGTGGAAAAAGACTCACAGTGAGAAGGTTTATCCCACACTCGTGCAAACTGGCCCGTGGTGGTGGCCTCCAGACAGGCATGGAGACCAGTGAGACAGAGAGAGGGTTCTCTAGCACGGTGTGCAGGCAGAGGAGCAGCGCACTCGGCTTAGGCAGGGACTCCGACTCCACAGGCCAGAGGGGCCAGGCCTTCACAAATTCCTGAAGACAGCGTGGCCGCAGGGCCTCCTCTCAGTCAGACAGGCCTTCAAAGCCAGAGTTTTAGATATTCAAAATCGTAAGCAATGCCAATGCAGTTGTCATGGGCTTTGTGAGAAGTCTGCTAAAAGACAAGCTTCTGCAAACCAAGAAACACCTGAAACAAGAAACAAGTTTGGCAGAAACAAGAAAAAGCCTTTGTGGATCAAAGGCTGAAATAAAAACTGGGGTAATAAGAGAAAGATTTTGGGGAGAGCTGTTCTTAAAAGCAAATACAATATGGGAAGCAGAGGTGGATGAACAGGAAAGAAAGGGGAGCAGAGAAGCTCACGGACCATGGCATGGGGAAGAGGTGGGAGCAGCAGTACCTCCAAGCTGGCGGCAGAGAGAAAGGTTAAGGAATAGCAGCAGGGGCTTGGGCCCACAGAAGGTGGCATTTAGCCAGGACTCTGTGCCTACCAGTCCTGAACCCACAGCTCATGACCATAGGTGAAAAATATTCAGAAGAGACACTGTCTTTATACTGGGCACAGACAGCCTTTCTCCCTCTAAGCAATACTGTGTAACAACTAACTATCCACATGGTGTTTATGCTGCACTAGTGCCATAAGTAATCCTGAGACATGTAAAGTGTATGCGAGGCTGTAAGCAGATTCTATGCAAATGTTGAGCTGTGTTGCTCAAGCGACACAGGCACATGTGGATTTGGTATCTGTGGGTCCTGGGACTAATTTTCTACAAATGCAGAGGAACAAATCTAGACAGAGGTAAGAAGCCAAACTGTGCAAGTGGACAGAGCATTCAAAGGTGCAGGAGTCCAGATTAATCACCATCTCCTTATTCTTGTCACATGGAGCTCTCCAGCCAAGCTGAAGGCTCTCCTGGTGGGTACCCTGCAATACTGATGGAGGGAGTGGCCTTCATTCCAAGTTGGGCACACATGGGGCCACATGAAGGGGTTTGGCAGGCAGGGTACCCCATCCCAACCATCCAAATTGTAGAGAGTCCTTAGGTCTGGGATGCTCTCAGGGCTCTGACAAAGTGTCAGTGGTCAACATAATCAAGCACAAGGCTTCCCTGAAGTGGGGGCACTTGAGATGGCTAAGCCTTTACTACATGCAGCAGTATCCCTCCATTTCAGAGGGACAAGCCAGCCCAACTGAAATAGCATGGTCATGTGCACACCGAGGCGACTGTAGGTGGGCTGCAATTTGAGACAGAAACCCCTGGAAGTAAGACCAGAAAAGCCCAGGGAGGGAGATAAACACAACTCCACAACTGGCTCACAGGCCCTGGCGAGGGTGCACCTGGGTACTGAGGGCATATGGCAGGAGGGTGACCCTAGGGAGCAGTGGAGCTGCATCTAGACGGCGATAAGAAGCCAAACTGGACAGGTGTTTGTGCAAGCCTCAGAATGGGGGCAGTGCAATCCGTAAGAAGCGGAGTTGCAAGAGGCTTTCAGAAGGGCTGGGGCTGTGGCTCAGTGGCAGAGCGCTTGCCTGGCATGAGTAAGGCACTTGGTTCAATTCTCAGCACCACATATAAATAAATAAAAGGTTCACTGACAACTTCTTAAAAAACTTTTTAAAAAAGAGGGTTTCAGAAGAGCCATGCTGTATTATGGTGTGTAGATATATGCTTTCTGGTGTTGGTGCAGGTACAGGCTGAGGTGCAAAGGGAAGGACAAGAGGTCAGAGGGGAGCTCTGGGATGACGGGCACTGATTGTACATGTGTGGTGAGGAGGCACCCAACTAGGGACATGCAGGAGAATGAAGGGACAGTGGCCACAGTCAGGAGACTGCGACTGTGTGTGATGAGACAAACCAGCCTTCATCCATCTGACGGGAGATGTTTACAGACGTCTCTCAACTGCAGTCCACAGAGGTGTAGCCCCCAAGGTAATGGCAATATAGAATATAAGAACAACACCAAACATGGCAATGTGTGTCACACAGTGTGTGCCCTACAATCAAAAGCTACACAATCTCCTTAAACTCCCAGAAACAAACT